GAATTCTCAATTTTATAGTTCTATCTGATACACATACATGTTCTTATGTTGCGTAGAAAGTTTGAGTTGATTCCTCAATTATTGGTCTTTTTACAAATTTTTAAAGTTGCTCCAAAATCAGGCCAAAGTCTATTAGCAATGCTACCTTACTAAGTGGGATTCATGATTCAGCTGTATCCCCCCCCCCCCCATACAAATTATGCCCCTTGGCTAAATAAACTTATTATACCTTGTTTTTCTTTCCTTTTATTTTCTCTATCTATCTCACGAATTAAATAACAAGATAATAAACCACTGATTATAAACATTGGGAGCAACATCATAAATACTACACAAGAGGAAGAAAGGGAGGAACAAGGGAAGATTTTATGAAAAAATATGATAAATTCAAGCTTTAAAACAAATATTATCTTATATATTGCAGGCTAGCTGAACTTACATCTGGAGATAAAGTCGTATGGGTCATCTCTTACATATTCAACCGCCCAATCAAGCCAGCTCCTAACGTAACCCTTCACAAATCCCCAGTCCATTACTAAACTTTTGTCAGTCAACCTGTAATTAGATTCATAGCACATTATTAGCCACGCCCATCATGTGATGATTATGCGTGGGCGAGCTAGCCTAGCCACAGACACCTGTGTTCAGATCTTTGTAGAATGTACTGCATCTGGTTGCATTCATTTCTCTCAATAGGCTCTCAAAGCCAATTAAGAATTACATAAAAAGAACAATAGTTGATAAAATGTACTATTATGGAGTAGCTATACTATGTAGTATAATGGTGGTGTTGAATATAGCGAAGGTTTCACTGCATGGAGCAACTCAATTGGACATCAACAGGCATACTCGCATTTCATACGACCAAACGGACACATGCACATGAGGCAGGATTCTTTGTGATAAGAATATGATCCATGATGTATACGTTGATTAGAGACTGGATGATAACATTCATCTATAAGCATTGATGCATATACAATAATGAAAATGGTAGAGTCTTACTGTATATTTTCCTTTTTACAATTGGTTTTGGGCGCCAGACATCTGGTACATCACCAGGCTCATTGTCTTCAGGTTCTCCTTTCGTGTCTTTTGGCTGCTTTTTCTCTCCAAGTGTCCACCAACCTGAACCAATGGAAGCCTTCCTGTCCTTATTTTGATCAGTTAGATCACCATGAGACATTACTTTATACTGCTCTGTTTAGAGAGAAGAAATGAAGGATAACCCAGCTTATATGCTGCTACTAACTGAAGTGGTTTGGTTTCTTCTCCATTACAATTGGAGCCATAGCAGTGGCTATAGCACACATCATTAGTGCTACTAGGAACAAGAAAGACTTCATTTTCACCACAGCAGAGTAGACTGTGCTTTCTTAGCTTTCTCTCAGCCTTTTTATAGTATCACGTTAATGTTGCAATATAAAAGTCTATACAGACAGATATCATGAATAAAAATTATTATGTATTGCATGAATAGATTAACATGATCACAATGAAGAGAGAGGATTGGCAAATGGTTTTAATAAATTTTTGATTTTGTCCACAAGAGTTGATAGAACAACATCAGTTATCGCTATTTTTGATAATGAGAAGAATACAAGATGGAGCTCGTGATAGCAAGCCTGCTTTTGCTCTACATCACTTGTATGAGACGCCTTTTTCTTTACTAGAAAGAAAAAAATAGAAACAAAAGTTTAAATATGGGAATTATGCATAATCACAGAGAAAGAAAAGCATGGGATCATAATATACTCACTATTGGTTATATTTGATGAAAAATTCTCAGTAATAAGAGACAGAGTGTTGAAAATTATCTTTATATGCCTACACACGTAAAATATCAAACACAGACTGGTTGAAAGAAACTCACTTGATATCAGTCTCAGTTACTACTACTTGTCTTACAAATGGTAAGAGTATGATACACACACCAATCGTACAATGCTTACTAAAAACAAACCATAATCATTATTAATGAGCATACCCATATATAAGAACAAATTACTATACCAGCACGTGTACTTACAAGTCATCACAAAATTTTGACAAACAATCCATGAACAACTGGACATTATTACTTGAACCAGTAAAGAAGCAGGCAAGCGTGCATTTGGAAGCAGCTTGCATTGCCTTCCCTCTCTTCCACAAGGCAATAATGTCATCTAATAGCTACAACATCAAAGGATAGAATTAGATATTAGAATACAGATTTCCTTACTTTCTTTCTATCAGACTGAGATAATGTTTCAGTCTCATTCTCAACCTCTTTGGATTTCAATTTGGGTGAAATTTGCTGCGATGAGGTGACCGCCTTAAGGTAAGAGCTCCTTTCATTGGTTGGGGATAATCTGCTATGATGTGATAAAGGCCTTGGGCTGGAAAGACGACGCGATCTTTCATCATGTATACTACTGATCGATGAATTCTCAGAATCAGAATCAGAAATCAATGAGTAATGATCAGTGACACTGGGAGAGGCACGACTTTCCACTCTAGGAGGTGATGGCTTTGATGCTAAAAGATTTGAATCGGATAAATTAGATTTTTTATGTGGCAGAGTATAGTGGACTGGGAGAGATTGCTCTTCATCCTCTTCATTGCCTTCCAAAGAGATGGTGTCCAAATGAGAGGGCACAGAACGTGCTGAGCTCAATGTTGGATTTTCATTGGGTGTACCATTTACCATTGAATCAGTAATTGGTTTCTCAGGATCAAAAGCTTGCCTTGCAGACACTGATGCCGTAAGTATTTCCTCAGTAGGTGACCTAGACATTAAATGGCTAGGCATTATCAGCTCCATTGCTGATGAGCGCTTATACATTGATTCCCTTAAAGGTGAATATAGCTTCAAATAGCGTGCTGGTAAGGATTGCTCAAGACTCGTCCTGTTGCTAGAATGACTGCCATTAGAAGAAGGTGATAATTGAGCTGGTAAGGATCTCTCCACATCCCAGTCCAATTTTGGTTTATCTTTTGGCAAGCCATTACTAACCATTGGCTTCTCACTGTCAATAGCTTTATTAGGCTTCTCTAGTGATGGTGAGCCACTGCTGCTTTGATGGAGGAATGAGTCCTGTGTCACTAATATCCCAGGTATACTTTGACTCCGACTGGACTTGACATAAACTGAATTGGAAGATGTCGGTGAATGAGAGGTTTTACCAGATTGACGCTTGGTACTTCCTTGTCCATCAACCCTCTCGTAAAGGTTTTCAGTTGATTTGCTATAAGTGACTGCTAGTGGTATCTCTGGAAGTTTACGATGAGTTGTCTTTCCTGAAGGCTTAGCTCCCAACTTACCCTGTGGAGGAAGAAGAAAAAGGAGTATACTTTAACAAGTAAAAAGTAAAAACAAGAAGAATAGAGTGGAGATAATTTACAATTGAATTACCAATAGTGCCAAATCATTCGGAGGATCAAAAATAATTTGAGTATGACAGCGACTTCGCTTCGGTTTAGGTGGAGGCACTTTACGAGGAGGTGCAGGTCTACAAACATAAACCACAATTATAATAAGAACTAAAATAATTATGTAGAGTATAAAAATATTTTGCCTGCTCTTAGCCTTGGATCAATGACAGAGGTGAACATTGGTAATGTATTCCTTTATCATTGTCACATGATCCCACAAACTTACAGTGGTGCCATTGATATTAGTATGTTTGTAATGAGAGCACCGAGTTCGTCTGTTTGAAGGAATTCTGGGAGATCCAGTATAGTTTGTTTTAACTCACTCTCTTCTATGAGCTTGAACACATCTCTAGCATAGCCTAGCAATAAGAGCACAAAGAAAACATTAATACATCTTCTGTATTACTTATAAGCATTTTCTAAACATTCTATACAAATGAATAGCAAACATTGCTTTCCCATCCAAGGAAAAAGCCCCATAGCAATAATAATAATAATAATAATATTAATAATAATAGTAGTAGTAATAATAATAATAATAATAATACTGTGTAAATATAACTTAAATTAACACTTACTTTGTGAATAAGGCAAAGGGTGGTCAGGATCACAAGTACTAGTAGTAGCACAAGTTCTAACAGTAGCACACAAATTGGATACAAACGATAAGATGGTCTTGATCAGATCGTTACGGTGCGAATATTGATCAAACTGTCTCTTAATGTGACTCATCAGTAAAGTCAATGCTTGTAAGTGAAGTGGCGGCTAGATTAAAGGAATAATGTTACACAACAACATGATGATGACCTAAATGTAATTACATTCTTCTTAATTAATTATTTTATCATTTTTGTAATTGCCTCTTGACAAGGATGATTAAAAAATCAAATTCTATTTAATGAATTACTCTATTTACGGCTTGGCCTACATGTGTATGCTCAGCTATGGTCATGCATACTTACTTTCTTGTCTGGAGGAGTAGGAACAGATAGTATGTTTGACAATATCTCCCAACTATAGGATTGGAGCTCTTTGTTGTCAGCCATTGATGTGAGGTTCATGCAACCAACAATTTTTGACGGGCAGCGATGATCAACCATAGCTTGTCTGTTCTGTTCTGCAGCACTAAAAATGACCAGTAGCTGCATCCAAAGAGCTGGATCTGGTTTTAGGAACTTCTGCTGGGAATCAGGCTAGAGTAGAGAGAAATATAAAGAAATAGTATAAAATTGAAAGGTGCATGTGTACATACTTCTTTGAGTGGTACATGCACATGCATAATTAATAATCAACGGGAGTCAATCACACAAGTCTATGATCAGTTACAAGATAAACTATTGGTATGTACATTAACAAATTAGACTACATGTACATGCATACTGACATGCACGTGTACATTTCTGACATATCTTATTATATATTGTCTATGTGTGTGTGCATGATCAATCCAATTGTTGCCTCATTAACAGCCCCACAGTATAAACATATAGTGACATCAACAGAGTCCTATGTAACCAATTAATGTGTTTGTCACTCACTGGTAGGGAGGATACATGTACAGAGAGATCAACAAGGAACTTGACAGTAGGTAAATCAGACGGATGGAGACATTGTGGAGTGGCTTTAGTCTTAAGACTCTCGTTGTATGCGTCAAGATAATCAGAGAATAGCCACTCACTACTGGAATGAAGCTCCTATAGAACAAGAAAGAAGAGAAAGGAGATGGGAGAGAGAGAGAGAGGAGGGTGAGAGAAGTCAGAAAGAAGGAAAAAGGTTTTAAGAGGGGAATTCACATTATAATATTCAATTCCTGTCATCATGTAATAAAAGAGATGTTTGTTTACATGACAGCATTGCACTCTCTCTGATGATATTACCTTCAGCAGTGGGTACATGCTGTTAATGAGCTTCTCTGACACATTTGGATGAGACTGTAGCAATAACTGGTAGCCAATGCTATTCCCTACTTGTTCATATGCCTATAAAGAAACTAAATTAGTCACCATACTCGTAATATTTACTATCTTACCGGGGGAAGAGGTTGTTTTGGATCCTTCTCGCCCTTTTTACGTAGCATCACTTCACGTGAGACTCTTCTAAGCGTTTGCTGTAACGAGCCATTCATTTGGTGGCTAGCAGTAGAGAGACATGACTCAGAGAGCGAAGAGGAAAGAGGACGATCAACTGGAGGAAGGAGAGGTTTCTTTCGTGGAGAGTCCATCGTCTATTGTTGGGGCTTAGTAATTATAAATACGAAAAATAACTAAAATATTTACGTTGAGTTTGAGACCAAAAATCGGGCTTCTTGGTAGCTTTCTAGTCTTTGTACTAGAAGTGTGATGATAATAATAAAGAAGTAATGCTACAATTTAGAGCAGAATGGTTCTGATAGTCATTGAAAGTAGAGCTAATACAACAGACCTATGCTGTTTCTCAATGCCCTTATGTTACGTGTAGGCAGTATATATTATACTTATTGCTGTACCTCAGATGAAATTCAAACTGATTTTTTAAATCACCTAGTGTCAGCACTTGCCCTGTTATGAGAGTGAAATAGTGATCATTGTCAATAGCAAGGGCTAATACTAACCGCTACTGATCTGGACTGTACTGGAGTATAAAGGTGTAGTGTCTACAAATACTTCACCACTGATCCTTGTTACTTTGCTTTCATGCAGACCAATTTCCAACTGTGTAGTAACAATAATATTTGATTGAGGGCATTCATTGCCGTCTCTCTCTCCTTACCTGAGCAACGTACGGGGTTTCTGATTTAATAATTAGGATCTGATTATCTTTCCAAGAGCCTGTCAAAGAAGTGCTAAGTATTTGTTTTGAAGAGGCTAGAAATTAGAATAAGTGCTAGTCACACGAGACTATTCATGTTAGCTTACTCAAAACAGTTTTCCCTGTCGCACAGTTGTAGAGAGTTCCTTTCTGCAGGTGTCTCAGACTACCTAATGCAGGCTGCGTAGGAGAGACACTGCTATAAGAATGGAACGAGGAGGAGGTACGGCGGGGCTGGGAATGGTCATGGTGATCTTTGGCAAGCTGCATTTTTCTGTACTCAATGACTCAATGTACGGTGCCAGTAGAAATGGAGCAAGGATTAGAAAGGCGGGGCTAGTTATAAACTTTAAAATTTAATTAGAGTGTAGGCGTGGTTAACAGATCACGTGATCCTTAAACGTGGAGGCAACTACCACTTCTTGTTCTTGTGTGTATCTACCGGCTCCTCGTTTATTGTTTTATTTATTCTAGAGGTCTCAATACTCTTTCCTACCCTTTTAGTATTAGAAAGACACAGCCGCTCGTCTTTTTAATTGACAAAAAGATAATAAGGTAGGAGGCCCTTCATTTGACTTTAAAAAAAACCCACCACCATCACTTCTCATTCTCTTTCTCTCCAGTTGTTAATGGTACTGGGGATGAGCGCCCGTAATAACGGCGAGACTCGCCGCAGTGACTCCCGTCGCTCAGCCGGTCAGCAGCAACAGTCCAGGAGGGAGAAACAACCATCCACACCCTCCAATGTAACACCTGCTGTCTCTTATGACCAAAAGTTCAAAGTAAGTTCACCTTCTCACTTATGCTTTATACTCCTCATTCCCTAATAGCCACCTTCAGCGGAACAGGTAACGCTCGCTAATATGCTAGGGGACAGCACCCCGTCTAATATAACAGAGCTCATTGGTCAGATATTGGCAGTCGTAAGATTACCAGAGGAGATGATCATGGTCGCTCTTCATGACAATGACTACGATGTAGAGAAGTCTATCGAAGCTTTGCTGGACAGTTCTAGCAATACGCATGTGAGATACACGTACACGTGTAGTATCTAGTTGATGTGGTTGTATAATATTAATGTGCTTACATGCATGTTGATATTAGTATAAGTGGGGGGGGGGGTTACAATTTTATGTTTAATTATTTTTATTTTATTTATAATTGAAAAGTGTTGGCTCGGAAACTAAGTGACATCATTTGATAGTGTGGAGTATATTTTGAAATAAATGATAATTAGGTTTTTCTTTATATTGAAACTATTGGGAGTGTAGTGGGTATATCTGTCCAAAGTCACTCCTGGCACTCCCTTTTTGAAATTCAATATAAAAATAGTGTAATAAGAATACAGCTTGGGTGATAAGGAGGCATTTAAATCCATTAATTCTTACTTGTTAAAACTAGCATAACTGTAGACTTTGCCTTTTTCTGATAAAAAAGTAAAGACTTTATTTTAGGGTTTTTAGATCAAGAAATTTCATGTAAAATCTAGAAAAAAATAAAACTCTTTGGCTAAGTTGCACAATCTTTCATTTTGTATAATCCGAATCTTTTTTGGCTGCAATTTTTTTACTATACATTAATTGAGTATTAAAGTACAGAATTAAATACATGTACATGTACATACACATAGATTTTTGCTACATTATTCTGTCATAATGATGATGACATGTATTAAACCCATATAGGATGAATGGACCACCATGAGCAGCAAGAAGAAGAACAAGAAACTACCTGAGACAGAGTCGACAGAACCGAAAGGAAGGAAAGGTTTTCCAGATCCTAAAACTGGAGGTAAGTTCACTGCTTGTGCTACATACAGCAGTGGTAAAGGAATGTTTTCCTTTAGAATAGTAATTGTATACTTGTAGAACTAGTGTTTTATAACATTACTATGCATAACAGTACCAACAGTACCAGGAATGTACTGCAGGATTGAAGTAGCCAGTATTGCATCAGCTTCAAAGCATTTGCAGTTTCAAAGGGTCAAATTGCTCACTCAATTGTGGCTTAATTACTGTAAATGAAGCTTTAGTAAAATTAATGTCAGAATTTGTATCGTTATTGTACTGTACATGTAGATAATTATAATTTATGTGATAGATTGTATCACATTAGTGTGGTTTTTTGTGTTTTTGTATGCCTGCCTTTAGGGGCTTGTCAAACAGTTCCCCAAAAACCATTTCTATTATCTTTATTTTTCATATCATGATGATTATGGCTATGCTAGATGTACATGTAGTGGCAGTAGTAGTAATAATTTAACCATTATGTTTATTTTTTTCTGCAGCTGCAAAGCATACAAGAGAAAGCTATGGTGGGTCTGTGACAGTTGACTCTAAGGAAAAGCCCAGCTCACAACGAAAAGGTTTCAAAGAAGGAAAATCTGAAGGAACTGAAGACAGCGGAAAGCAACGAAATGGGAGAAAGGAGACAGATGAGAGAGAGAGGGAGAGTGGCAACAGGCGGGACCACGAGAGAGAAGGAAAATGGGAGAGCAGTAGGAGACGTGGGGACGATGAAGGACGTAGAAGAAACGACGGAAGACGAGAGAACAACAAGCGAGATGGAGAGGAGAAGGAAGGACGCTATCGGAGGAGAGAGGGGGATCAGGATAAAGAGAGAGGAAAATGGGAGAGCTCGAAATGGGATGGGAACAGAGAAGAGGGAAGATACAGGAGGAGAGAGAGGGACTTTGACGGAGGGAAAAGGAGGAACGGAGATGAGTCCAATAAATGGGAGAACAGGAGAGAAGACAGCAGCAGTCGATGGCATGAAGGAAAGATGGAGAGAGATGGCGGAAAGTGGGACCAGAAAAGAAGATTTGATCAAAGACCGAACTCAGAGAGGGAAGGAGGTTATAGAAAAGGTGGGGACTACAGTAGTAGACGAGAGAACAAAGGGTTTCACGAGAATCGCCACAGAGGAGGAGGGGGAGGGTTTTCGAAGAAAGGTGACTCGGGGAGAGGACCTAAACAGACCAAGGAGATGTGGGGCAGTGAAGAACTCGTGAGCACAAAAATAACAGGTGATTATACACGTACGTGTATGTGTGCATTGTATATAAATCATTGTAATTTTAACTTGTAACAGTGGCTGATAGATAGTACTTGAAATAGTAATACAATTACAAAACATTTGCCCCTAGAAAAGAGGATTAAACTGCAATGTATATATTATTTATATTTCCCAAGTACATTATGTTCTCTGTAAATATAAGTGTGTGTAGTCTGTGCTGTTATTGTAATAGTGTAATGTGTTTGATGGTGTTTGTGTAGTGCAGTAGTGAACTCTCCTTCACTATTTTATGAATTTTATGATTAAATTGACACGTGGTATGTCAAACCCTTACCTTGTTGACACTTTTATGTTGACACTAGTGGCATACAACAACAACAATTTGATAAACATAATAATAATAATAATAATAATCATTGTTGAGTTATGATCATGTGTAAATAATGGCCAGTACTATATGATGCGGTTGTAATGAAATTCTCTTTGGGACTTATATTTCATAGACAATAAATTTTGTGGAATGTCAATTTGGAAATTAAATTTCTTATTGGAATAAAAAATTAGATTGTTACAAATTTTAAAGTTGCTCTAAAAAGTCCCAGTACTATAGTACATGGTCCAGGGCATTACATTTGTTCTTGTGTGTCATATGCTCTTAATTGTTTCTGTAGATCCAATAAATCCAGAGGAGTCCTTTATGGTTGATGATTGGGTACTTGTTGATTCAATCCCAACTCCGCCCCCACCCGAAGTACCTATTAGCAGCCAAACGAACCAGGAACAGTCCGTGTTCCCCGAGGCACTGGACACTCCATTGAACAATGATACTCATGAGGAAGCTCTATTCAATGATAACAAGTATGTTAATCATAAGAATTAATCAAAATTAAAGCTTCAACCGTGTTTTTTTTTTTTGCATTTTTACTTGATTTTTTTATGAAGATTTGCACAGTTAACTTTTGTGGAAATCAATTTAATACAGTAAAGGATGACTATAATCAGTGAACGTTTGTGAAATTATTTTATGAACCTCACACAAATTATTATCTTAAAAACACCATTTTTGCTTGTATAGTAAAGGATTGTAGAAATGATGGAGTCTTTATTCATTTATTATGTGTATCTTTATTTTATTTGTAAAGGAGGTCAGAGTCGAGTCCAGCAGTGTTAGAGGACCAGTCTCAAAGAGGAGGTGGTGTTGCAGCTGCACTGAGTAAAACCAGACGATACAAGACCCCACAGATACCCTCCCAGCCAGTCGAGATGCCCAGTTACACTGTTGACTCTCTCAAAATTGAAGTGAGTGCCTTTTTGTCTTTATATATACAAGTAACTTGTACTTGTGTAGCTTGGTGCTCTCGGTATTGATTTCGTTGGTCCTGAGCCAACTCCCACTGCTACCACTGCTAGTGTTGCTTCTCCTTCGTCCCTCCTGCTCTCGTCCGGAGGCGGTGACCAAATGTTTACTGACATGATCCCATCTCCATCGCAGCAAGTGAGAGATCTTTTATTTCATGGAATATATATATATATATATATATACACGTGTACATGTACTGGTCTTGTGCATGTTGTGCGTGTTTTGATTCCTATAAATGGTACTGCATTCATGAATCATGTACGCTGTACCTGATGTAATTCAATGCCACTTGTATGATCAAAGGAGCAGATTAAAATAATCCAATAAGGCAATTTAATAATAGTAAATGATGTACTAATTAGTTTATATTAATATAATTTCCACATGTACATCTATAAATGTACAACTGCTTTTCCTATTCCAGGTGGTCAGTTCGGACACGTCTTCAATACTTACTTCCACTCACTATACATCAAGGTTAGTTTGGGTGTGGCTTATCTTTTAGACCACACCCCTTTTATAGTTTTTCCGATGATACTGCCGTTATTGCCATATCAACCGGAGGTCTCTCGACTGGTTTTAATGAAACACCAAAACTGGATCCACCTCCTGGACTAACTCATCCTAGTCAGCACTCGAGTAACGTTCCTACAGCAACCAGTACCGTTCCCATGGCACCCACTAACGTTCCCATGGCACCCACTAGCGTTCCCATGGCAACCGGTGGACTGTTACCCCCTCCTACTCAGCCGCAGCATGAGTCTGCTCTTAGTATGTCGGGAGGTCCTGCTAAACTTGATGACCTGTTGACCGCTTCAACCAGTAATAGCTATACACTTGCCATGAATCCTGTATCACTGGTATGTACTGAATACACTACTCTCTCTCTCTCTCTCTCTCTTTTAATATAATTTTAATTATTATTTTTGTTGTGTACAACTGTACAAGTACCTATGTTATAGTCTTTCAAGTTTGGCTTAACCACCTCTATATTGTGTATCTACTGTACATGTCCATTCATGGCTTGTCTTTGTCATTGCAGTAGTATAAGGTCACACGTGATTTTGTTGCTTCAAATGGTTGTAACTAGAAAATTTTTAGTCAGAATTGGCTCAAACTTTCTGCATAGCATAAGGACATCAATATGTATCAGAAAATGTAATAAAAATTGGAGGTGATTTCGGAGCCATACTGTACAATAAAAGTTGTAATGATTTCTTTTATTTCTAGGAAGCGTCTCATAGCTTCTCTGCATCTGTTGCCCAGACTCAGCCTCTCTTCACCACCCAGCACACAACCGTTGCCATGGTTACTAACCCCGCCCCTTCCCATCACGGTCACTCCAACACCTCATCTGTGATGTCATCACTGAGCAACAAGCAGCAACCCTCCTCTCACATTGGGGCTACAGGTAGTGACCTATAATACCTTTATCTTTAATGAAGCTATCTGATGTCATTTTAACTTCATTATGTTCAATTATAGCAAGAATATTTTGTTGCCCATTTTTTGCAAATTTCACTTTTTTTTTTCCCTCCTAAATTTGCGAAAATAAAATTCTCGGAAATTGATTAGATGCAGTTCAAACGTGGCCTAAAAGTATATAAAATCTCAAAAATTAAAGCCACAAAATAGATTTTTTTTTTTTTGAATGAATTTGCGGAATAAAAATATCTCATTATATAGCAATCAAGAGCATACTAAAAATAATAAACATGTATCACTGTAATTATTAATTTATTTTTTGACTTGCTGTGTCATAATGTGTATTTCCATTAGGTAAAGGCCATGCTAGCACTGGTAATGTTCTCCCCATGCCTCACCCTACCGCCCCCACTGGTATGGTGTATCCCCATCATATGCTGACTCAGCCTTTCCCTTACGGGACTCCGCCCATGATGGTGAGTGCTTTAATTAGAATACTTACATTCACAAAAATCAATTTAATATGCAGTACAAGATAGTTAAATTACATTGTAAATCCATAAAATATATTTCGGACAAATCTGGGAAATTTAAAACCCTCAATTTTGGTCTAATAAGTCATTATTTACACCAATATACCGCCAGTATAGCACCTCTAAACTGAAAATACATTTATTCTCTGTTGTAAACTCTTTGTAGTTTTATGGGCAGCATCAGCCTAGCTCGGACAGTGCTCCTGTCCTAGCCACGGCCCCAGTCTCCCAGGGTCTCTCCAGGGATCATTCTGCTACGTCTTTCGGAGCTGATTCCAAGTATGACCTCACCTCTCCTGTTGGAGCTACCAACACTCAACAGCAGCAAAGTCAGTGAACATATTCATCTAGTGATGGTCCATTAATTGTGTCATTTGTTGCATAGGTGCCCTTCAGAATTTCTACAGTGCTCCACCTTACATGTATCTCTATGCACCACCTCACCTTGGAATGCCTGGATACTCTGCACAGGTCAGTCTGTAGGGACTTTTGTTTTAAAATATGAAAAATGTGCACAAATTAATTTTTATGACACATTTAATGGCACATTGCAAATTTTTATTTTAACATGCAAAAATTATCACTGGAAAGTACTTTGAAAAGTAACTTAAGTCCAAGTACATTTACAAAACACTTTAAAGTATGAAGGCTTGATTCAAGTGATATTCTTCTTCCTCAGATGAATCATAAAGCAGGTGGAGCCTCTCAGTATCCAGCTGGTACTACATATCAGCAAACGCCACAGGGACAGTATCTGTTGGACGACCTCTACACTGGATCAATGGCTAAGAATAATTCTGGTAATTTTTAGTTCTATTTAATACCTCCATTTAACAGACAGCACCTAGTGTACCAATTACATTCCTTACCGTATAAAATAACCTCCACATAAAGGACACCTCTGTATAACAGAGACACTTTCTTGACCCAAAGCATCCTTATTTAGTAGAAGTTCTACATGCCATTATTTATACTTCCACATAAAGGACACCTCTGCTTTCGTGCCCCCAAAGCATCCTTATATACATGTAGTAGAGGCACCACTATACTATGCAGTGTTCTATTATTTTCCCTTATCCCTTCCTCTCCAGTTTCCTCCACCACAGGTGCTGCTAATGACTTCAGCAGTTACACTAAGCACCAGCACCAGCAGTATGACAACAAGGGGGCAGTGGCTGCTGGATACAGTAGCTACGCTGGTATGGGAGCCCCTCCCATGGCTGGGTACATGATGCCAGCCCCTCCCCCCATGATGACCACACCCCATGACACCTCTTCACGTCAGAAGCATAAAAATTTTAGCAGTGGTGGGTGGAGCACGCACACTTAGGACTCCGCCTACTTTGCATAAACACATTCAAGGGAGTACCCGTCTTGGGTAGTTATTATTATTATTATTATTATTGTTGTTGTTGTTGTTGTTTAAGTTTGAGACTGTCAATAGATTGTTTATGTAGATAGAAAAGAAAGGAAAACACAAACAGATTACTAACTATTAATATGTTTAATTATTGTAGAAATATTATTATTATTATTATTAATGAGTGTTGCTGTTGTTTAGTATATAATGAATAATATTAATCACAGTGTTTCAATGAATAACTATTATTTGGAATATTAATAAGAATTATTATTTGAGACATCTTCATGAGGGAGGCTGAGGAGGAGGCTAACAAGGAGAGAAAGAAAGAAAAAGAATACAATAATAGTAGGTTGATAAGAGATTCTGCTTAGGAAAAAATTAATTTTCAAAGCTTGTATGGCTGTAACTTTCTAGTGACAAAAGTCATTCGTAAGTATCTTTTGGAACTTGGTGGCCACTATGCAGAATTTTGTAAAAAAAACTAATAGGATGACGGTTCAACCCTCAACGATCCTCTTTTTTTTCTTTTTTTTATACTTTAAAAAAATCAACAATTTTAAGGTCTTAATCACAAAAGTCAGCCATGAATATCTTTTAGAACTTGGTGGCCACAACACAAAATTTTGTAAAGAAAAACTACACTATGGCAACGGTTCAAATCTCAATGATCCCGCCTTTTTTCTTTTTAGAATAGAACTGTATGTATAGAACAAACTTACTGATGACTGTACTATTGACTCAACAAAGAAATCAACAAGTTCACTGATCCACCTCGCCTGATTGGACTCTACAGCATAACTCTTCTCATTGAAAGCCTAAAAAACATTAAAACACATGAACACGATACTTCCATACAAGATGATTTATTGGTGAGGAATTTATATTGGCGATTGGCGGTTTTATGAAGAAATTGCCAATATAAAATCAGCCATTTTGTTTCAATCTGAGCATGCTCAATGGAACGTGGTACAAAACCGCCAATATAAAATCTGCCAATTTTTTTCCACAGGCAAATTTGCCAAATATTACTCCCGCCAATAAATCATCTTGTATGGTATATTCATGTGCATTACTCTCCATAAAGTGCTTATAAACACAACTTGTGTTGTTTAGAATAGCTTAAGTTTTTTTAATAAACTCACAATAACGAAGGTTCTTCGTGAATAGGCCCAGTTCTTGAGGACCTGGTACTCCCAACTGTCAAGGACTTCCTTTGTCTTTGGGCAAACCCTAAGAATACCGTTCTTGTTCACGCCCAAGAGGACGGGCTTCAAACGAGTGCTCTGGAAAAGCTTCCGTCTTGGTTCCTAATAATAATAATAATGATGATGATGATGATGATGATGAATTTATCTCTTTTAATGGCCATAACTTAGAACCTTTTAGTCAGGGTCACCCAAATAATGGAAAGCAATTTCATAGCCAATTTTTTGGGGAAAAAGCACAGGCTAGTATTATAGTACAGGGTATTTTTAAAAATCAGCACATTTTAAATGACCATGGCTAAATACTACACAACTTACCCTAACAGGAAAGAACATGGTGTCATTGGTTGGGAGGGAGCAGCAATATTTGATGTAAAATTTCTGAATGTCTCCCTGATTCTTTGATTTAATCTTCTCCTGCTCCTTGTACATCTTCTGCTCTATACCTCTAACGCCAGCAAACTCAGCAGGAAGGAAATCATTAGGTCTACAAAATAAAAAAATAAACATCATTTGGAGTAACTTTAAAAATTCGTAAAAAATCCAATTTTGATAGGATTCAGCTCAAACTTGCTACACAACATAAGTACATGTATATGCATCAAATAAAGTTATAAAAATGGAGAATTCTGTCCTTGTCATTTTTGCTAAAATTTGGCCTCGGACCCTGTACTATAGTACAGGGACTTTTACTTGATTTTGGAGTAACTTTAAAAATTTGTAAAAATTCTAATTTTGATCGGAATCAGCTCAAACTTTCTACACAACATAAGTACATGTATATGCATCAAATAAAGTTATAAAAATGGAGAATTCTCTCCTTGTCATTTTTGCCGAAATTTGGCCTCGGACCCTGTACTACAGTACAGGGACTTTTACCCAATTTTGGAGCAACTTTAAAAATTCGTAAAAAATCTAATTTTGATCGGAATCAGCTCAAACTTTCTACACAACATAAGTACATGTATATGCATCAAATAAAGTTATAAAAATGGAGAATTCTCTCCTTGTCATTTTTGCTAAAATTTGGCCTCGGACCCTGTACTATAGTACAGGGACTTTTATCCAATTTTGGAGCAACTTTAAAAATTCGTAAAAAAATCCAATTTTGATCGGAATCAGCTCAAACTTTCTACACAACATAAGTACATGTATATGCATCAAATAAAGTTATAAAAATGGAGAATTCTCTCCTTGTCATTTTTGCTAAAATTTGGCCTCGGACCCTGTACTATAGTACAGGGACTTTTATCCAATTTTGGAGCAACTTTAAAAATTCGTAAAAAAATCCAATTTTGATTAGAATCAGCTCAAACTTTCTACACAACATAAGTACATGTATATGCATCAAATAAAGTTATAAAAATGGAGAATTCTCTCCTTGTCATTTTTGCTGAAATTTGGCCTCGGACCCTGTACTATAGTACAGGGACTTTTACCCAATTTTGGAGCAACTTTAAAAATTCGTAAAAAATCTAATTTTGATCAGAATCAGCTCAAACTTTCTACACAACATAAGTACATGTATATGCATCAGATAACATTATAAAAATGGAGAATTCACTCCTTCTCAATTTTGGTGAAAATTGACTACACTGTATCTTCACAATAGGCCCTCACCATACTGCACTAGTATAATGTAATAATTATAAATACCTGCAGAATCCAACCACAGAATTCTCAGCTGTCCTGTCAAGAAAGTAAGCCTGATATTGTATAGCTGCCAACTATAGAAAGGAAATGAAAAGATGAAGATTGTATTAATATTAATAATTATTATTGCTCGTTTTGTTATTTTTTGTTACGAACTTTAACGGCAGATTCCAATGTACACGGCTGATTGCCTTGAACAACACCTAACCATTTCTGCAAAAAATAATAAAAATAATAATAAAAATAATAATAATAATAATAATACCTTATGGAATTCATTAGTGATTGGTACTGAGCAATAATTAGCAAATGAGTCATCACCATCATCAAGCCTATATCATGTACATCATCATAATAACATGAATTAAATATAACAATCCTCAAAATTTTTTATCCACAAAATATAAATACACATTATCAATAATACTATAAGGTAACACAGTGTCAACTAATCAAACCTCAGTATTAAAGCATCAGTATTAAATTAGTATTATTAGTAATTAAACCTCAGTCATCCACAAAATATAAGTACAAGGTACTATAAGGCAGTGCAGTACAGTAAAAGTATAACATGGCAAACCTCAGTATTCTTGATGTTGTGATCCCCTGCATTCTGAATGACAGTGAATTCTTGAGTAGTATTGGAGCAGCACCTTGATCTGTACAAATCAAAATTTCTTACATAATCAAGGAATTTCTTATATCAATTAAGTGCTAGGTGTGGTGGGGGATGATTGCTAATCGAATTAGCTAATTCTCACAAATTTCTCATTCTCAACAAGCTAGCCATGACACATCTTAAGCAAAGAATGCTATCAGTTGGATGCTTTACCCCATCAGCTAATGACTTGAATAAACCTTAAAAGGGCCAAGCAAATGTGTCCCAAGCTATACCTGATGGAGCAATACTAAAATATTTGGCACGTTCATATACAGATACTTGTATTTGCAGAGCAGGTCCATACATGTGTAAGTAATGTGCGACATGTGAATATTATTAAACAAATTTGGCAAGTGAGTTATGATAATGCCAGTATACCTGCTAGGGAGTTGCTGTCTACTAGTTGTGTTAGCGATACTGATCTGTCAACATGAGCCTTGGCTGGCTGGACCTCACCAAACTAGACAGTAGAAGAAGGACATACATGTGTGTACATGTGCATGTACAGTAAAGATTGGTAGAGTAGGGAGAGTGTTGCTAACCTCGAGGACAGCCTCTTTCATTGTAGTTAGAATAGATCCTTCAACATACATTGACCATTTATCATCAATATCTGAACTAGTAACTATTAAAAAATAAAGCAATAAAGATACATTAAAGTAAAGAAAAACATGCATGCAATCTAATTAAAAACATACATGTACATTGACCATTCATCATTAATATCTATAAGCTATAGTAACTGTAATGTAAAGAGAAATACATGTATGAAGATTTTGCTTTTTTTTATAAATGTATTGTACACGTTCATATTGAAGCTGCATATCTCACCTCCTAGCTGTTCTGCTAGTTTGTTAATAAGTATGGAAACTGGACGATTTATATTGACCTACAAAGATTGAACAACCAGACATGTACTGTGATGCTTCTGTCTAGCAGAAACAAAATAAAATAAATATATTGGTTTCTATATGTGGATGTAGGCTAACAATGCCATATATATATTCATAAAGAAAACTTCACAAAAGGAAAATGTGAGAAAGAAAGAAGCTTAATAGGCTTTGGTTTCACTTAGCATCTCTATTTGCACTTCCTATAGTTAGTGAAAGTTATGATTATATAATAACTTTCATATCTTTTAAAAAGGCATGATTAAAGGTGAACCAAATTAGCAAAAATTAACACACCACAAAAACGACATAACACATAGATGTACGTTGTACTTACTACTTCAGAGACCAGCTGTCCATTGGGTAGTTTCACATAGAAAACTCTGTACTCTCGATTAGTGAAGGAGAAGTCCTGCTCATTAAATAGAATAAAAAATATAACGACCATATAAGTAGTGCTCTTGGTTTGTAAAGGGAGGGAAATCCCCACCAATTCAATTCAATTATTTATCATCAATATCACTATTAATAGTAATCAAATTCCAATAACCACATTGTAGTTTTTATTGGCAATAGTAATCCCTATAGTATTAATCATGCCTGCTATACATGCACTACATACAAATACATTTAATTACAGGAATTGCTTGTACATAAGGTGACCTTTTCACTGTATAAAAATGAAAAGAAAATCTCAAGGGACCTTATATAAAAGCATGGGCATGTACATTGTACATTCACTACATTGTATATGTACATGTGCAGTGTCAAATGTTATGTGTCTCATTAACTCCATCTTTCTTTTTATCTTCTCTTTCTGCTCCCCTCTTGTATATACTTGTATTATATATTTTTATTTGTTGTACATGTACTTTATATTACATTTTTGTGTTTTCTTTATATGATACACTGAAAAAAAAGATAATGTGAATGGGATAATACCTTCATCGTATCGGCCACTTTCTGTGCATGCTGTCTGCCGTGTGGAGCGTTGAAATCATCATTTGATCTAACGGTTTTACTCCGTCGAGTAATGACACGTTTGTTGAGCCGAGGGCTAATGAACTGAGATGTATCGGCCGACTTGAGTCTCCGAACTGGAGAAGAAAGAGTCAAGGATTTGTCATCATACTTAGAGGAGTCACTCATCCCTGGGGAAACCTCCTTCAGCGACTGATAGTGATCGGATAAAGGACGAGAACCCTTGCTGCCAAAACGTGGACGATCTTCGGTACCAAACGATGCTGGACCGATTGTCACTTCTTCGTAATTGTGTGGGCGTCGTTTAGGGAGAGTAAGACAGTGAGGGACATCAGGTACGAGGACGAGTGTCTCAACTCCAGAACCAGACGAGCTCCTACGATCAGAACTAACAGACTCTCGTTCCTTCGTTGTCTGTCCGCTGGGACGAGGGGTGTGGTCACCTTCCTCGGGTATTGCTTGATCTTGTTTTGCGAGAATAGACGAAGCCTCGTACGCGACAGCAGGCGATATCTTCATTCCTTTGATGTTATCGTATATCGGATTCAAGTTCTGAGACCAGCGGAGGTTTGTCCTAACGGAGAGGAAATCAGCCAACGGATCTTCCGAAGAGTTACTGTCCTTCTTAACACGAAAGACGATGGGCGGTTGAGGAGAAGGAGCCTCTTCATCCTCAGTGTTATCACTCAACGACTGCTCGTCTTCATCTTCATCATCAGTCTTTCTCCTCCTCACTACTGGAGAATGGAACACCATTGGAGGAAGAGACTCGTTACGTCTTAAAGGAGAATGGACCACTATATCGTCGTTAACACAACTCTCTTTATTAGCGTCTTTCTTCCTTCGTATGGGACTCTTGTGGGTCTTTCTTGCCGGGAACAAGTGGTCATATTCTCCCTCTGTGCTCCCTTCCCTTACCGCCAGTCGATCTCCTCTTGTCTCTTGCCTTATCGGTAGTCCGGGAGATGACGGGGGAGACTTTTGTGGAAATATCTCAATTGATTCATACATGTGTGGGCGTGGTACACGCACATTAGGTTTCTTGCTAAGTTCCTCGTCGCTCACTTTAATTAAAACTGTGGGTGGAGATTCTTCTAATGTAGAGTACTCGTGTCCCAAGGTGTTAGGTAAGCTACCGGAACGAGGTGGGACAATGGGTGGGGCCTCGTCCTCCTCTATCTTCCTTATGATAGCAGGGGGCTTAATGTCACGGCCTGATTCAGGCGGGACCACAAGGGGCATGGCTTCCTCCGGAGGGCTGTGATTGACAGATTGAGATGAAGTCCCGTTAAAGAGTGAATCCATTGATTGGGCTCTGAGAGCTGATGCAGAGTCATGAGTCAAACCGGTAGCACTCTCAGTATCGCCTAACTCAAGAGACGCTGTTAGATATCCCTCGCTGCTGCTACCACTACTTTCCTTTAGTTTGGTTGCCTCTGGTGGGCCTATGGACGTATTGCTCCAATGAAGTTTGTCGTTTTCTGTCGACTTGAGTGGCGATTTCTGACGCTGAGTTTGTGGAAGGGTCTTCACGCCGTAAGCTGAGAGCATTCTTGCAGGATCAATTGATTGCGGCTTTGAGCGCCTTGGATTGAGTGTGTAGAACTTAGCTTGATAAC